ATAAAAACAACAAGGACACCATTCAAACCAGCGGACCCTTGAAAAGCGACGTGGTTGTCATGGTAATCTCCTGTAGGAATCCACGCACACACACATCAGTGGATACACAACTTGTCTTAATTGGTTGTCTTTAATTGTGTAATTGTTTACTAGATCCGAATGCATGGATCAGCCAAGGTGAAGGTGTCAATCAAATACATCACTGACAATGACAGACTGTGTGATGGTACCAATGAGAATAACATGGTCCCTGATAATGCGGTGCCATATTCCTGGGTGGTGAAAAGATGGACACCCTGTTCCAAGACCTGTGGAGGAGGTAGTTCACTGTAACCACAATCATTTATTTGAGAGTAGTTTAAGAGACAGCCAAGTTTCTACCATGACTGATCATTTGCTAAGTCCTGCTTAAAACAATCTTGCCTCAGCAACTGTTGCTGTCCACCATATTATCAAGCTCTTAAAAGTGACTCAAATTGGGGGTAATACTTAGTAAAGAGTCTATAAAACACAACGTGGGCATTACTTTAGGACGAAAGAAGTGGAAGTGCTTGATTGAACTTGATTGAGCTCTGACAACATTATTCTCGATTATTGTATTTATTTGTATTTCTCTATTCATGATCATGAGGATTTCATTCACTACCTTCTTATGGATAGGTATTCAGATGACGCGTTATGGCTGCCGTAAGAATGCAGAGATGAGGATGGTCCATCGCAGATTCTGTGAGAAAATCAAGCAGCCTCCGCCCCTGTTTAGAGACTGTTACTTGAGAGAGTGTGCTCAGCCCATGTGAGTGTGTGTGTGCCAAATGAGTTAGAAGGAAATTATTATTATTTTTAATTCACATTTACAGTTTTGGGGGCAAGACACCAAGTGATTGTTTATTTTAACTTTTTTATTAAAACATTACTATCTTAAACATTACAATGACATTTAATAATATCTTTTGTTAACTTATTTAAAAAAAAAAATATATATATATGTAGTTTATAGATTTAATACACATTAATACATAAAAACTTGTGACGCAAAAAATTCCCTAGCACTACATTTATGTGGCCTGGCTTTCCGCAACTATAGTCTGTCTCCAGTAGATGTCCCTGTGACACTGTTGTACCTTGCATCACACATGACGCTTTGGCACCTGTTTAAACTTTGACTGTGGTTGTTTCTATGTGTTTAGCTGGGTGGCTGGAGAGTGGGGCGAATGCAGTAAGTCTTGTGGGAAGACGGGAACTCAGACACGTTCCGTACGCTGCGTCCAACCTCTGGGCGACGGCAAGTTCAAATCCATTCGCAGCCGTTACTGCAGTGATGAGCGCCCAGAGTCCCGCAGAGACTGCAATCGCAACCTGTGCCCTGCTGAGTGGAGGCTGGGCCCCTGGTCACAGGTACAGGCCTCTGACAGTACAGGTCTGAGCGCGGGATTTCTTTAACATGAAAATAATGAATATTTGTTTGTGTGTGTGTGCTGTTGTAGTGCTCAGTGACATGTGGTAATGGTACGCAGGAGAGGCAGGTGCTTTGTCATACTCGTGACAACACCATTGGACTCTGTCTGGACTCCAAACCTGCTGCATTGAGACCCTGCAGAATGGATCCCTGCCCAAGTGCGTATTTGATTATGTGCTCCCATTTTCAGAAACTTTCTTTAAGTCGAAAATAACAACCCGAAATGTCTAACAGATCAGTACATTCAAAATTTAAGTCAACATGAAGTGCTGTTTGCAGCCTATTTTTAATTGATATATTTCTGGTTGTAGCAAGATATTAGAGTAGAAAAAATATAGGGCAGGACTTGAGAGCCATTGAGAATTGGTTGGATTGTTAAAAGTGGCCGTAACATACCAAAATGGAGTCAGATGGTTGGTGGGAAAGGGTTAAAAGTAATGCATAATGGATCTCTCTAAGATGAGGGTGTATATAACTGGTTACACTTTAAAATAAGGATGTGTACATTATCTAACAAGATCATGTATTAGATATAAGATTTTTAAATGTTTTTGAAAGAAGCTCACCCAAGCTGCATTTAATTGATCAAAAGTACAATAAAAACAGTAATGTTGTTTTATTACAATTTAAAATAAATGTTCTATTTGAATATATTGAAATTTAAATGTAATTTATTCATGTGATGCAGTGCTGAATTTTCAGCAGCCATTACTTCAGTCTTCAGTGTCACATG